AGTTCCAAAGCAATTTGGTGCAGGGATTAGCAACTAGCAATTCTCTCCTCCTGTATTTGAAACTCATGGTGTCATGGTTTGAGATAGCCCCAAAATCCAATTCCCTAGTCCTAGCCCCCTTCCCCGTCTCCACCTAATGTGAGATGGTTTTTTCCAGACAAAACACACCAGACTCCAAATGGGGGAAAGGGAATATATTACAATGACTGTACAAATAAATACCATATCACATTATACACACGATCACAACTCTCTCTACCATGACATATGTATTTACAATGGATCAGATCTCTTCTCCCCTCCAAATAAAAGTCCAGGAGGGAAAGAAGGACAGATCCCTTCCACATTTAGGGCAGCAGCTCCTCTTCTGTCTTCCATGCAGCAGTAACTGGGTTGTTTTAGCTGGATCTCTTTTCAATACACACAAGGGGGTCTCCAAGCCCCTTGGCCCGTCGTCTCCAAAACGAGGGTCTTTCTCTTCCGTGGACTGCGTAGCAGGGACAAGCTCGCGTCACCACGTCATACCACGAAGCTCAGGGGTCTTCGTGGCAGTCCCTTTCCTCGGGGGATTCACCCCTGAGTCAGAACATCTTGGGTAGCATTCAGTTGCAAGCCTTTGCCTCAAAGAGTTCTACCAGAGCTCCTGTGCTCTGTCTCAGGCTGCCAGGCTTGTCAGCAGCAACGGGGGGGCCAAGGTCAACCCCCCCCCCCCCCCCGCATTCCATCTGGCCGTCCCGGTCCAGCTCCGGGATGTCTTTTGAGCTTCTCAGCTCCTCTCTCTCCCCAGTGCTGCATGTCCAAAACTCTTCTCCAAAATAGGAGTCCATCTCCCTCTTTTTTCTCAGAGGGATCTCAAAGGAGTTTGGGGGAGGTCTGGTATTAGTTCTTACCCCCAGAACTCTGTAGCTCTGCTGCCGACTCTCCTTCTTCGGACAACACTGTGTCTCTCCTGCTTGGCTGTAGTGCCTCTGCCGCATCTTATCTGTCCTGGCTCTTAGCCAGAGTCTCTGGACGCTGCATCTCTGCTTTCTGCTCTGTCTCCGCTGCCCAGGATGGAGAGAAACATCTCCCAGCTTAACCACAAACACTTAGTCCAGTCTAACACTGTTCCAAGTCTCTGTAGCCCCCAACTGGGGCTGGGGGGCCCCGGAGGCCCCAAGGGGCTCTGAGCCCCCTTCCTCGTGGCTCTACAACATGACCACCTCTCCACAACAACCAAAACTACAACTCTTCCGGTGAGCTTGTGATATGTTTACATTTTTTGCAGGAGTGCCCATTGGACAGAACTTCAAAACTTCCAGGGGTTTCCACCCCTTGGGGTCTACCACTTTTTTAGCCTCTGGGGGAAAACAAGGTCTAAACCACCACACATGGGAATGGTTGCAAAAAGGAAAAGGAGAGAATAAAATAGAAGGGAAGAGCAGTAGCAATGTTTTGTCAGTGGTTTCCCTCAATTGAACTAAAAGTTGCAACATTTGAGAAACTGCAGTGACGTTCAGAATTCATAAAGTAGCAGTATCACATCTTAGGTCAGGTCCCAGCATCTTCTCTTGCAAAACATGTATGTCTCATCTCTTCACAATACTGACTGTCATCAGTGTTCACATATGTGAATTTGGAATTGTCATTTACGTTCTCTTCTTTGAAAACCTTGGGCCTGGCAGATTCTAATAGGTATTGTTGTTGAAAGAACTGAGAAATCAGCATTCCAAAACCAGGTCTTCTCACTGTCAGGCACTTGTTCAGGTGGACTCCAACAGTGCTTCAAGACCTAAGCAGAAAACTGATTTACAGCCAGTTCAGCCATGAGGCTTTTTCCCTGTTGCTACCTGAAATTTCAGTAATGTCTTTGCGTACTAAAATCAGAGCTTAAATCAAAAGAATTTGGAGGACAGGAAGAGGGAGGAGTATGACTTCCAGGTTCCTTTTTAACAGTGTCCCTTTAATCCTGATCGCTGGTCTAGCAGCAGCAGTACTGTTAACCAAGGGTAGGTGCTTTCTGCCCTTACCAGTTACTAAAGGCACTGATTCTCTGAGTCCAGGCATACTAGAAGAGGGGAGTCTGTGACAGAAGGACAAACTTCAAGGGCAAATAGAGAAAGAGAAACAGCACAGAGGAATCCTTAGTGTAGATGTGAACAGTTTCAAATCTTATACAGTTGGAAGTGTTTAATTCAAGGGCATGGTTTCAAGGTGCTAAGCTGACTTTCTTCCAACTTAATTTGTTCTTCATTCTAAAAGACAAGAATTGTCTGGTTTGATATTTCTACTTGCAGCTAATGACAGATCAGTTCACTTGGAACAAGGGAGGCACATAGCAGATTCACAATGTAATTTTTGGAAACTAAGAGAAGGCAGAAAGGGAGTGAAGGAGGAAAATATTTTACACAAAATACTATGAAGACCTACAAAAGGGAAACTAGATTTTAATCTGCTCTAACTGTGAATGCTGATGAAACACCACATTTGCTGAAGTGGAGAAGATACAAAGGGGGTAGGACATGAGACAGTATGCAAGTGGGAAATATCTGCTTTTCAACAATCAAAATCTTAGGTGGCCGTCCATGTCCTCACAGTTTACCAACAGACTGTCTTGGAAAGAAAATGGGAACTAGTGCTTGACTGAGAGCTGTTAGAGATGTCACTGAATAATCAGAGGAGATGAGAATGAAGATGACTGAATAACTGGATGAAGACAACCTCACAGTTTTTCATCTGCACATGACCAGTTGGCAGTTGAATCATCTGGGATATTCCACAGAGATCCTGGTTAGCAGTTGGTTTTAACAGAAAAGCTGTGTGCAAATAAAATCTTGAGCTTTGTTAGTCTTAGGCAGTCAGCTTTCGATGGCTAAATGAGCCAAATGTCACATTATCTTTTACTCATCTTCACAATCAGTGTGGTCTTTCAAAAGGCTGACCTGTCATGATATAGCAGAGATGGTTTTTTTTTCGTTTGTATAATTTTGGCAGTCACAGACATCATATACTGTAAGCTCATTGACTGTGGGATACTCTTAGAGAAGCAATAGGTGTCTGTCATGAATATATGGCTTGTAGCAGTTTGTTTACATTAGATGTGTTGTCTTCCATTTTTAAAAAGGCCAGAAAGTGTCTTTGCACTGAAGTGTGCTAAAGTGCACTTCTGTGCTCTGATCCTTGCTATACTTCTAAATTTAGCATGCACCTGCAATTCCATAGTTTATCTACACACTTTTAAGGCATGCTGTAGCAAAGCAGATGCATAGGGAACTGGAGAAAGAAAACAATACCTTTGTCCTCATAATAAGTGTTTAAGGATAAGTCACTCTTATTTAAGGGGAATAATTTGGAGAGCAATTATGACTTGAGGGATATATTTTTCCACTAAGAAATTGATATTTAAAGCAAAATTTTAAGCATGTAGAGCTATAATTACATTGCCTGCAGTGTTTTCTGCCCCCCAGGAAGGTTCACTTCATCAGAGAATTGTTGAGTACATCTGAAAGATACGAGCTTGGTTATGCTACAGGTGTTTCCAGAGGGAGTGCTGCACCCGCTAACTAGAAAATGGCATATTTTAGATAAACTGTTTTTAACACGGCATGATTTGTTTTCTGACTGCGGCTTTCTGTGTCATCTTAAATTGTGGGGGTTTTGCTGACATAGACCAACTCCAGTTTTAACACTATTGCCTTTGCCCCTGGACACACTTGGAAGAAATAATGGCTTGGAGTGAGAAAGTTAGGGATTGGGGGACATCAAGCAAGCTTTAAAAACCCTCTAGGCCTCAGCTAACATCTTGCAGTGTAGGAGCTGCTCCTTGCTCTTGTATTGTTGGGGCTAAACTCTGTTGGATGGGTTGCTTTGGCAGGAGCAGGCAGGGCAGTTGCCATGCCTCTCTTCTTTTACCTGTGTAATCATGAGCCTTCCCTCAGCATGACAGTGCACTGTGCAGGCAGGCTGGTTATCCAGGAATTTATTGCTTCTGCTGTGGAAGTCACACCATGGTCTCTGCCTGCAGAAAGACTGCAGGATAGCAGCCTGTGCTCAGAACAGTGCAGCATTATGCTTATCTGGGGAAGTTCTCCCAGCTGAAGCCGCCAGATTATGCACAGAGACATGTTCTGGGCACTTATTGCCAGGGTGGGATGGGTAAGGTCTGTCCTGAGGCCTCTATAGGATAGAATGGGAAGGTCTTGCCTAAGCTGAGCAGGGCTCGTGGCCAGCTTGTGTCTACAAAGGGACCCTCAGGCCTCTGACAGGCCAACACCAATGATATATTTGGGTCCAAAAGTAATGATTAGCTATAGTGAAAATAGTTCACAGGAAAACATTGATGGGGCTGGGAGAGGGGTGGGGCATGAGTGAGGAAAGGGATTGTCTTCTGGCACACATCTGGATCAATTCCAGGGTTACACAGCCTTGCACTTGGATCCAGGCAGCATAGGCGCTGAGAACAAAATACTACCTTAGCCTGCCTTTGTGTTGGACTGTCCGTGGGGATTTGCAGCTAGCAGTCACTCTGTCAGTCTGGCCACTGTCTTGGCCTGTGAGCCAGCAACTACTTGCACTTTGTTCTCCTACATCCCCCTACATCATGAGGAGAGCCTGTCATGGTGCTGCTTCCTTATGCACAAGCATGAACTACTGTGAGGAATCTCAGCTGGACCGAGACCTCTGATATAGAACGAAAAGCTGACTGAGAATGGAGGCCTTGGTCCTGACAACATGTTGATGCACTCTGAGAAGAAGAGAAAAACATCAGGAGAAAGCTGTCGCATGAGAACAAGGACTTATTTTGAACAGAGTGGCTGAGAAAAATATAAACATTAAAGGAAAACAAGAACAGATGTGCAGAGATGTTGTGAGAAAGTAGAACTAAGAAAGTCCACCTATCAGCTGTAAGAATTATGGTTTGTGTATTTGAGTTGACCTATCTGTGTAATATACATATGCCTAAAGAGCTGTATTTAAAGAGCTGTAAACTGCAGCAAACTAACACTTTGCTTTTCTTGCAGGAGCAGTCAAGGTTTTATGCATATGAAATTGATGAAAACCAAAGAGAAATACATCCTGGGCCAGAACAGCCCTCCCTTTGACAGTGTTCCTGAAGTCATCCATTACTACACCACAAAAAAGCTGCCTATCAAAGGAGCAGAACACTTGTCCTTGCTCTACCCTGTGGCTGTGCGGACACTCTGATAACCTAGTCTCACCCCTTCCTGTGGATGGGAGGTGAGAGGTAAGATGGGTTGCACTGAATACATTGCCAGAATTCAGAGTTTGAGTCTATGATGGAGAGTGGCAGCGTTTAGTCTTGTGAATGTGGGCTCTCTGCAGAGTTGCATATGGGACTGTGTGTATGATACTCTTGTGCTGAAGCATGCCTCTAGAACTGTGTTGCTACGTAAGAGAAAGAAAACTTATTTTAGTGCAAGGAGAGTAGATAACCTTCCCAGACCTTCTTTGTGAATGAAAGTGCTTCCCAACAAAAGTTGCTCCTTCATGTTTTGAGAAGAACCAACAAGTTCTTCTCAGCAGTAAAAAAACCAACAGCTTCTATTCTCTTGCTACTCTGAGAAACTTCTCCATGAGAAAGAGTAAAGTACTCTGAGGGATCCTAGCGTGTTCTTGATGGACCTGAGAAGGAGCTGCTTAGCAGACAAGCCTCTGGCTCTGGTCACTTAGATTGATGGATTTGGGATTTTTTAGTGCAGTTTCTTGGGGTAGTCAAATGTTGAACTCCTATTAGACACATATATTAGGAAAGGGTTCGGAGCATACCGAAATCTGAAACCATAACACCATTGAAAGCTCAACAACACTGATATTTATTACAAAGAACTGGCCAAAGTAAACGGGAACCCGAGAGAAAGAGAAACCAATGAGGAAATATGACACCCTACTCACTCAGGCATCATTCATGGGGTATCTTTCCAACTCCAAATACCATAAAATCCTCTGCAGCAGCTGCGTTTTTCAGAGGGTTAGCAGGCTCACACGTAGCAGGCGTCCCTGCTAAAGACAGCTTGATCCTTCGTGTGGAGCAAGCTCACCCAAAAAACAAGCTGTTTGCTTTATACAGTCAACTGATTACATCTGCCTAGGCAGGTGTGGCCAGCACTGTCCCGCCAGAGGTTCTCAGTCCCACTCCCTTGGTTGTGTGTATCACTGAAGTGCGTGAGTGAGATCTTTGGAATTTCCCTTCCACGTGCACACTATGCTTCGGGGGTCTTTCCTAATTGAGTCAGGAGTTGTTACTTCATCCCCTCCTCTTTGGTTTCTCCTTCAGATGTCCTTGGCAGACGATGAACCAATCACAGAACACCAGTTAATACAGTTTATACAAGAAGCTCTCTCTCCAAGGACGAAGTTCCCGTTTTATCAGTGGACTTGGCAGGGAAAATATAAACTCTTACAGGTGGCTGGGCCAAAAGTATCACCATCCCTGATACAACACACAATCTTAAAGTAATTTTGTGAGAGTGAATCATGGTCAATTACTTATGAATAGGGGATGTAATTAAACAGTAGTTATATATTTTTATCCTTTTTGGTACAATAATCTCTTAATGTTTACTATCTTCATTTGCAAGTTTCATTCGTAGGTACAGGCAGCTAATTCTGTTTGGGGCAGTTACACCATAATGTTTTAAGTAGTTAGGATAAGTCAATTTGATATGTGGGTTACTATTTATGCATGAGGGTGGCCAAAGGCTTTTATAAAACTTTAGTAGGCAAAATCTTCACTTGCTCATTCGTCTGGATCAAACGGGTGTCCTACTGATACAGCAGACTAACATGTGCGTGTCACACTGCCTTTCCACGAGATGGCTTTTGCAGCTGTGAGAACTGTGATATGTAGCAGAGCAGAATTTGTTTTTCTGGTCTACCGAGCCATTCTTAAAACACAGCCCCTTTGACACATACCTTCTGGCCAGTGTTCTTTTTCACCATGAGCAGAAGCCTCCTGCTGTATTTCAGTCACTGTGAGCCAGAAGTACTGTAGAAGCTGCTCTGTGTCTTAGTCCTGCCAGCTCATTGCCTTTCCACTTGAGACATATTTTCTACATGTTCTGTGTGCTCATTGAATGAGATAAGTGAAAAATTATAGTTGTGCACAAGTTGGAACTGGGGAATCAATAGCCTTATAAGTCCTCGTGTTGAACCATCTCCCACATATGTCTAGAATGTCATGCATTAACCCATCAGCTGTTATAGTAGCAAACTGGTTATATGCAGGTTATGTATTTTACAGACTGCAATAGGACTGTGAAATTGTGTGCTATTTAATTCAGCTTTCTTAGCTACTACTATTTTTTATGTATGCTTAGAAAGAAGTGCAAATCTGAAAATTGTAATGGAATAACCACTTACTGCCTGTAAAAGTAGTGCTTCATTGTATTGTCTAATCTGATAAGAATCTCAAGGATGACCCATGTAATATCACCGGTGCTAAATGTTCTGTTTCCTTTTAAGCCTGCCTTATTCTTTATGTGACATCCAATGCAGATTGAACAGGAGTGGATCACACATATGTGAATAGTGTCATTCTGTGCAGCAACGGTAGTGGGTCAGACTGTCCCTGTCTCACCCAGAATCTGAAGCTGCATTGGAATAGGTTCTCTGGTTTTCCGAGAGAAGGGTGACCCAATGGAGAACAAAGAGACAACAATCTTCTCCAAGTGAAACTAAACACCCCCTTTTTCATGTACTCACTTACATGCATTTTTTATTTCCCTAAAGTCTTTGCAGAGCTCTTTATTGTCTTAACATCACCCAACTGACAAGAGCATACAGGCACTTTTAAGTTAGCATATTCTCTCAGCAGAGTAGGAGTTTATGAAGGTGGCAGAGCTCACACAGATTAGGAATCAGGTGTCATCTGCTCTGAGTCCTTGTGGGCTCTAGCAACACTATCATGCCCTTTGGCACAGAAACATGTCATCTTTCTTCTTTTGCATGTTGAATCTGACATTGTTTCTGTTCCATGGTCTGCTTTTCTTCTTCTTTAAAGGAAAAAAGAGTATGCCCCTACTCTGTCTAACAGCAATTACAAGTAGAAACCAACAGCATCATTAACCAAGGCCTTGCCTGGCTTCCTTAAGCACTTTGTCTTTAATTCATGGGGATAACTATTGTATCAGACCTGTCTTGTCAGGGGTCTGATCAAATGTCAAATGAAGCCAGCAGGTGCCATTTTATTGCTGTCTGCAAATTTTGGGTTGGGATCCATTGCTTCATACAACTGTGTATACAGCTTATTACAGCTTCAAGGATCAGATCAAGGTTCTTGGTTCAGCAAGAAGAAATCATCTCAAAAGTATTGGTTGTCCATGGGAAGGTTTTTTATTATTTTTCTAAAAGACTTCTAGAAAGTACTGAGTAATTGCAGAATAAATAAAACCAGGATTTTGTTTGCACTGTAATGTTGTCTTTGTTTATTTAAGTGATTGTATGATATTTTTCCAGTGAAGGAATATTCTTCCCAGATTTTTTAATGTACAGTGAAAATGCAGTGTGGTAACAGTGTGTAGTATTGCATTTAGGTGGAAGATTTTGTAGCAATGATGCCTACATAGCACATTAAAAGTTTATTTTAAAAAAAAATATAAACCTCTCTCTTTTCTTTCTCTGATTGTCATTGTGTACTCGGATTGCCATGAACAGCTAATAACTGAAGCGGCCTTTCAGAACAACTTGTGTTTGTGTGTTGTGAAAGTAATCATTAGGTTATAATCTGCTTTGGAGTCTGGAAAATCATATGTCTCAGTTCTGCCCTGACTAATTCTTTTGATAATGTGCACCTTTACAAGGGCTGACACGGGTGCATGTGTGAATGACATTGCTGGTGGTGTCCAAGGAATCCATTTATTGCTGCTCACAGCATAACACTGGTGAGTCACTTTTTGCAGACTTTTTGCAGAGGTGTTAATTAGGCTTCTATTTTGATGAGTATTTCACAGCTTGATGAAAGCTGTGAACATCTGTATGGCGGGTAGGAGAGCTCTAGTGGCCAAGATTACATTTCACGGGTCCTTCCATAATTGGAAAAACCATTCAGGTTTGTGGAAGTACAGTCATCACCATGGTTTCTGTATTTGATAACATATTATTCTCTTACTCTGAAATTAAGTCTCTAGAGACAGGATGCAAAGTGCAGGGCTGTCTTATGTGCAAAGGTACAAACCACACATTTTCAGCTTCTCAAAGAACATGGCCTTAACCTGTGTTCTGAGGAAAACTTGAAGAATGAACACTTGTGTGCTGCTTCTCAGCATTCCAAAGAGGGTCATGCTTTGCACTTCATTGTGGTGTCATGGCTCAAGGTGGCAACACAAACACTGTGTGGGATTGTTGGTGGAGTCTGCTGGTACCATCTTTTTCCAGGCTCTGATTCCATTTTGACTCTGCTATGCTCTGGTGTACTCGGTCCTCTGCTGCTCTAAGTTATTCATGCTGTCCTCAGGTTGTACTTAAAGTGGTGCCTGAGCAGAACAAGCGAGGTCTTAACACTTGTTTAAATAAATAAATCAAAAAAACCTCACCTAACACACTGCTGCACTATCTCCCTGCAGAGGAGAGAAAACAAAACAGAAATGAAACAGACCTCTCTGCACTCCTGGTCTGAGCAAGAGGTGAAAGAAATTAAACGTTTGGGATCAACTGTTTTTCATACATTCTTTCTTTTGTAATGATCTGCAGTGATCCCACATAAAACACTGCAGATTGCTTCCTTCTCTTACTTATTGCTGGAGTGCACAGCAGCTGAACAAAGTTGTTGATCTGAAATAAAGCAAATAGAAGTCCTACTGTAAAAGGATGTTCATATGTTGCAAGGGATGACCATGTACAAAATCCCTTTTTCTGCAGCATTGATTTCCTGTCTCAGGGCTTGACCTTACGTTGAGAACTATGTATGTACAATTCAGAGTTGCTGTGGTGACTTCAGTGCTCTGTACCTTGTATTTAGTTCAGTCACAAGATTAGTCCAAACAGTGCCTGTGTTTTCAGGCTCCCTGGATTGCATTTATTGCTGCTGACAGTTCCAAGACACAAGCCTGAGGAAGCTTGTTGGCAAGTTGACCATAATAGCCTGCTCCCCAAGTCTGCCTCCAAGAAGCAATGGTTCTAGCCGTGGTAGAAATATCAACAGGATGGTTGGAAACTTAGTTGCAAAAGTCATGGGGATGACTGAAACATGATAAGTACATGGAATTAGCCTATAGGAAGAGTTCCAGGATTGTTTATAGAATAAGGGCTAGATTGTGTGTCAGGCGGGCTGGGCCTTGCTGAAATTTGGCTATGAAAGAATAGAGAAGAATAAGGGAACCATTTAAGAGTAAACAACTTGTTAACTGCTATGAAAGTTGCAAAAGTGTCATGGGGAAAATATGGAGATACTTTCAGAAGGGGCAGACTGTCAATGCCAGTGAGGCAAGACCCAAGTCTGAGACACCAAGAGAATTTGGATAAGTTTATCGGGAATCAGGCATTCTCTACCAGTCTCTAACTCATATTGCATAGGGTCTCTCAAGAGAGACACAGAAGAGACCTACAAGAGATAGCCTAGAGGAAGAGATTATAAGAAGAGACCAGAGAAACCTGAGGAGAATGCAAAAGACTCAGAAGAGGCCTCAAGCAAAACCCCGGATAGTAAAAAGGGAGGTTACAGGAGTGCCTTGGGAGAAACAGAGGGGACCCTGCATCCTTACAGACAACACACAGTAGGGCTGGAACTGCTACACTGACCCTCCTGACTTCTCTCACGGTTTCCCACACAGGACAAGGAAGTTATGTCAGGCACCACTACACAGACCAAACCAACTTCTCCCCTGGACTGCCCTGTGGAACTGGAAGGTCATGTTACTCATTGTTGGCATCACACATATCCACGTGTAGAGTAGTTTTGGGTCTGACTCCATTTAGACTCTACACTTTCAATTTGCTCTTCAACTGCAAAAACCAGCCCTGCGCTCCCTGTTCCTTATTAATTATTTTCAAATGCAAAGTTATGTGATATAATTGTATTAAATCATAATGAAAGGATTCTGGTTAGTAACTTCATATGGCCAGGATGGACTGTGTTTTCAACCTGAGTATTATCAGCTCTGTGAAAGTAAGGGCCACGTAAACAATGTCTTTGGTTTTTGTTGTTCATAACCTCCATTCAGCACAAACATAGTAGATTTTCTCTGACATTGTCTTATTAATTGCCTCCACTAATTAGTTTCATTAATTGAGATGCTGGCCTGTAAGATTTTGTCATCTGTCTGTTATGTCCATACCTAGAGAATGTTCTTAATTCCATATAACCATAGAATCATTTAGGTTGGAAATGACCCTTAAGGTCATTGAGTCCAACCATTTAACCTAGCACTGTCAAATCCACCGTTAAACCATGTTCTTAAGTGCCTCATCTTTTAAATATCTCCAGTGACAGTGACTGAATCACTTCCCTGAACAGCCTGGTCTATAATTGACAACACTTTCAGTAAAGAATTTTTTCCTAATATACAATCTAAACCACTCCTTGTGCAACTTGAGCTTGTTTCCTCTCATACTCTTATTTGTTACTTAGGAGAAGAGGCTGACATCCCCCTCACTACAACCTCCTTTCAGGTAGTTGCAGAGAGGGAAAGTTTCCCCCTGACCCTCCTTGTCTCCAGGCTAAACAACCTCAGCTCTCTCAGCCACTCCTAATCAGACTTGTGCTCCAGACCCTTCACTGGCTTTGTTGTGCTTCTCTGGACTTGCTCCAGCACCTCAATGTCTTTCTTGTAATGAGGGGCCCAGAACTGGACAGAGAACTCAAGGTACGACACGACTAGTGCTGAGCACAGAGGCACAGTCCCTGCCCTGGTCCTGCTGACCACACTATTGCTGATCCAGGCCAGGATGCCACTGGCCTTCTTGGGCACCTGGGCACACTGCTGGCTCATGTTCAGCTGGCTGTTAATCAGCACCCACATGCTTTACTGCCAGGGAGCTCTCCAGCCACTCAGCCCCCAGCCTGTGGCACTGCATGGGGTTGTTGTGACCCAAGTGCAGGATCTGGCACTTGGCCTTGTTGAACCTCATACCACTGGCCTTGGCTAGTCTTTCTGCCCTCCAGCTGATGGACACTCCCTCCAAACTTGGTGTTGTTTGCAAGCTGACTGAAGGTGAACTTGATCCACTCGTCCAGATCATCAGTTAAGCTGTTGAAATAGAACTGGCACCAAAACTGAGCCCTGGGGAAAAGTGCTTGCGGCCGACTGCCACCCGGATGTAACTCCATTCACCACCGCTCTCCAGGCCCAGCCATCCAGCCAGTTTATTACCCAGCAAACAGTGCACCCATCCAAGCCATGAACAGCCAGTCTCTCCAGGAGAATGCTGTGGGAAAAGGTGTCAAAGGCTTTACTAAAGTCAAGGTAGACAACATTCATAGCCTTATCCTTATCCACTAAGTAGGTCACCCTGTCACAGAAGCAGATCAGGTTAGTCAAGTAGCACCCAGCCACACTGGCTGAGCCTAATCCCCTGGTTGTTTTGTACATGCTGTGTACAAAGATCACTCAAGCTGATCTGCTCCATTACCTTCCCAGGCAGACACGCCTTTAGTGCCCCCTCCAGCCCTTGTAGATGGGCATCACATTAGCTAACTTTTAGTCAAGTGGGACTTCCCCGAGTAGCCAGGGCTGATGGTAAATGACTGAAAATGCCTCAGTGAGCCCTTCCACCTCCTCCCTCGGTATCCTTGAGTGGATCCCGTTTGACCCCATAGACTTTTGTGTGTCTAAGTGGCGTGCAGGTTTCTAACTCTTTCCAGTTGGATTATGAGGGCATCATTCTCTTCCCCATCTATGTCTTCCAGCTCAACAGATGTATTTATAGAAACATTTTGGTTTTTACTGCAGTTGCCAAATTAAGTTCTAACTGGGCTTTGGCTCTTTTAATTTTCTCTCCATATAAACTCACAACATCATTGTAGTCTTCCTGAGCGGGCTGCCACTTCTTTCAAAGGTCATAAACTCTTTTTTTTTCCTGAGTTACAGTCAAAACTCTCTGTTCAGACTGGTTTTCTTCTCCCTACCCTGCAACTTCTCTTTTCTCACACAGGGACAGTGCTCCCACACCTTTAAGATTTTGTTGTTGGAAGATCTCCAGCCTGCCTGGATTCCTTAGCCCTTTAAGACAGCATAGAGTCACAAAATCATTTAGGTTGGAAAAGACCTCTGAGATCACTGAGTCCAACCTTTGACTGATCACAACCTTGTCAGCTAGACCATGACACTAAGTGCTGTGTCAGTCATTTCTTGAACACCTCTAGGGATGGTGACTCCATCACCTCCCTGGGCAGTCCATTCAGATGTTTAACAACCCTTTCCATGAACAAATTCCTCCTGATGTCCAACCCAAATTTCCCCTACTACAGCTTGAGGCTATCTCCTCTCATCCTGTCACTGGTTGCCTGGGCAAAGAGGCTGACCCCCAGCTCCCTACAACCTCCTTTCAGGTAAGGTCACCCCAACTCTCCAGGCTAAACAACCCCAGCTCCCTGAGCTGCTCCTAATAGAACTTACCTTTTAGGCCCTTCACCAGCTGCATTGCCCTTCTCTGGACTCGCTCCAGCACCTCAATGTC